TATATATATATATATATATATATATATATATATATATATATATATATCACACACTAGACATACTTGATGTGTTTTAGTGATTAGGGACCGGAGAAATACAAAATAAATGAGTCTTTATGTAACCTCTGTAGCGTCTGCTTAATTAAAATTAATTCAAAAACACTTAAGGACCAAAGCTTAGGTTATTTATTAGTTTAACAAATACACACAAAACAGTAGCATGCACTTTTACAAGCTTTCTAGGTGTCCTTCAGGTTTTACCGTAGGTCCGACAGGCCCTGAGGGACCCCTGTCCCCAATAGGTCCTGGGTGTCCTGGAATTCCCTGGAAACCCTACAAGACAGAAATTGTTGAATTAAAAAGATGATCAGAAAATTGACAGAGACCACAAATACTACACAATGCTACTTTTACTGGTACTACAAATAATACTTTGATAAAACGTAGGTGGATTTTGTTTCAGCTCAATCGTTCCTCTGATTCTGTCTCTTTCCAAGCGGAGCTCGAAGAGCAGGTTTGGAGATCAACAAAACCGATTTGATTTCAAGATTGCTCTTTAGAGCTTGGTGTAAAAATACAACTAAAACTGTCAATTATAACTTTTGGACAAGCTTCAGTTAACCAAAGTCCTAAAACCCCCTAGCACTCCTTAAAAGAATGCAGATTGCCCTCCACCTGACAATCTCTTCGACGACGTTAAAGCTGTTTTTGTGTTCCTCGGGCCGCTGCGGCCATCTTGCTTTAGTTCTGTTCAGGAAGTTAGAACAGGTCTGAGCCTCAAACAGGTGAAAGCATTGATAAGTGTGTACTTGTAAGGCATTGATCTTCTGTGATTTATGGCTGTTCTCCAAAGCTTTGTAAAAAAAAAATATGATGAAGCCTACACCTGGTTGTTTTGGGAATCACTTTTTCCATGACACACACACAGTTTTTTTTTTTTGTTGTTTTTTGTTTTTGAATTACAGAGCAAACAAGTTATAAAAGATGAAAAATAAATATCTTAGGAGGGGGAAAAAATAGCAAAAAACAACAATGGAAACCAAGACAACAGAAAAGACAGGATCCTGCTCCTGGATGAGTTCAGCTCATACATTTACATTTTATCTTCAATCAGACACAATAGTCTCGGTTAAAAAGGAAGATTTTGACAAAACTCACACCAAAGCCACAATGTCACATTTTCAACCTTTAAAAGTGTACAAACCGGATTCCAAAAAAGTTGGGGCACTAAACAAATTGTGAATAAAAACTGAATGCAATGATGTGGAGATGCAAATGTCAATATTTTATTCGTAATATAACATAGATGACAGATCAAAAGTTTAATCTGAGTAAATGTAACATTTTAAAGGAGAAATATGTTGATTAAAAAATTCACAGTGTCAACAAATCCCAAAAAAGTTGGAACAAGTAGCAATAAGTGGCTGGAAAAAGGAAATTGAGCATATAACGAACAGCTGGAAGACCAATTAACACTATTTAGGTCAATTGACAACATGATTGGGTATAAAAAGAACTTCTCAGAGTGTCAGTGTCTCCCAGAAGCCAAGATGGTAAGAGGATCACCAATTCCACCATTGTTGCACAGAAAGATAGTGCAGCAATACCAGAATGGTGTTACCCAGCGTAAAATAGCAAAGACTTTTAAGTTATCATCATCAACGGTGCATAGCATCATCAAAGAATTCAGAGAATCTGGAACAATCGCTGTGCGTAAGGGTCAAGGCCGTAAAACTCTACTGGATGCTCGTGATCTTCGGGCCCTTAAACATCACTGCACCTCAAACAGGAATGCCACTGTCAAGGAAATAACAGAATGGGCTCAGGAATACTTCCAGAAAGCATTGTCAGTGAACACAATCCACCGTGCCATCTGCTGTTGCCAGCTGAAACTCTACAGTGCAAAGAGGAAGCCATTTCTAAGCAAGCTCCACAAGCTCAGACGTTTGCACTGGGCCAGGGGTCATTTAAAATGGAGTGTGGCAAAATGGAAGACTGTTCTGTGGTCAGATGAGTCACAATTTGAAGTTTTTTATGGAACACTGGGATGCCATGTCATCCGGACCAGAGAGGACAAGGATAGCCCAAGTTGTTGTCAACGCTCCGTTCAGAAGCCTGCATCACTGATGGTATGGGGTTGCATGAGCGCTTGTGGCATGGGCAGCTTGCATGTCTGGAAAGGCACCATTAATGCAGAGAACTATGTTCAGGTTCTAGAACAACATATGCTCCCATCTAGACGTCATCTCTTTCAGGGAAGACCCTGCATTTTTCAACATGATAATGCCAGACCACATTCTGCAGCAATCACAACATCATGGCTACGTAGGAGAAGGATCCGGGTACTGAAATGGCCAGCCTGCAGTCCAGGTCTTTCACCTATAGAGAACATTTGGCGCATCATAAAGAGGAAGGTGCGACAAAGAAGGCCCAAGACAATTGAACAGTTAGAGGCCTGTATTAGACATGAATGGGAGAGCGTTCCTATTTCTAAACTTGAGAAACTGGTCTCCTCTGACCCCAGACGTCTGTTGAGTGTTGTAAGAAGAAGGGGGGATGCCACACAGTGGTAAAAATGGACTTGTCCCAACTTTTTTGGGATTTGTTGACGCCATGAAATTTGGAAACATCAGATTTTTCCCTTAAAATGATACATTCTCTCAGTTTAAACTTTTGATCTGTGCTTGGTGTTCTATTCTGAATAAAATATTAGATGTTGGCACCTCCACATCATTGCATTCAGTTTTTATTCACAATTTGGTTAGTGACCCAACATTTTTTTTTCAGATGGTGATGCATGAGTTGCGTACTACGCCCTTTATCACTCTGAAATGTAAATTCAGCCTCTTTAGACTCAAATATATTTGGCGTTTAAGAGTAGGATTTCTGTTAAATCTAAACAAATGTTCAATTTTACTAATACACCACGATTTAACAAACATATTTTTAATGGTACAATGTAAAACTAAAAAACTGAAACAAAGAAGTGGACATAATCCGTCCTACCCTGGCTCCAGTGCTGCCTGGTGGGCCCATGTTTCCCTCCACGCCTCTGATGCCCTGCAGAACAGAATGAGATGAAGACTGTCATGGACCTCAGCTGAAAGAGAACCTCATATGGGTCAAACAGCTCACCTGGGGGCCTGGGATCCCCTCCTCCCCTTTTGGACCTGGAGGTCCTGGTAACCCCTACAAAACAAAAGAACCAGTTTAAAGACAGAATAATTAGCAGCAGAATTATAGATGAACTGAAACTCACTTGTGCTCCCGGTCGCCCAGGATCTCCTTTTTCTCCTCTTGCTCCTGGTGGACCCTGATTAGAACAATGTTAGAATTATTATTATAAATAAATCTGAATATTCTAATATTATTGATATTACAACAGAAACAAATCAAGTATAATAATATGATTAGAAATATTAAACTGAACACTGAGTGTTACGCACCGTTTTGCCCTGCACCGTAATTCCTCGTGGTCCTGCGCCGCCCACAAGTCCAAGGCTCCCCTCAGGTCCAGGCTTCCCTGGGGGGCCCACCTCCCCCTGAGAATTCACATTATAACATGCAACAGCGCTGCCATGTTTGATCGTCAAACTAAAATCTTTTTTTCTCACAGGAGTAGAAAGAAAAGATAACTTATGAGCCACACATCATTTTATTGCTTACACACTCAAACCAGTCACTTTATTGGGTTCAACTGGTTGTTCCCACAAGCAACTAATAAGCCAGTCGCATGGCATCAACCCAGTGCCTTTAGGAGTGGTGAAGATGACTTGCTGAAGTTTAAGCTGGGCACCAGAATGGTGAAGAAAAGGGCTTTAAGTGACCTTGAACATGTCACGGTTCTTGGTGCCAGATGAGCTGGTCTGAGTATTTCACAAACTGCTGATCTACTTGGACTTTTGCACACAACCATCTCCACAATTAAAGGAGAATGTTCTGAAAGGAGGAAATATCCAGCGAGTGGGTATTTTCTCCGTTTTAGGAGATATGTGTGGCAAACAAACAGCCTTATTAATGTCAGGTCAGAGGAGAATGAGCAGACTGGTTCAAGACGACAGAGAGGCCACAGCAGCTCAAACAGCCACGCATTCCAACCAAAGTGTGCAGAATAACATCATAAACACCAACATTTAAAGAGACGCCACCAAAAATTGGACAATAGGAGATTAGAAAAATATTGCCTGGTCTTATTGGTGTGGATTTACTGGACGCCAACGGCCTCCACAGGCACCAGATCTCAATCCAACCCAGCACCATTGGGATGTGTTGGAACGAGAGGTTCACATCGTGAATGTGCAGCTGACGAAGCTGCAGCAACTGTGTGATGCTAACTTGATAACCGAGACTAAAATCTGAAGAACGTTTCCAACGTCTTGGTGAATCTATGGCATGAAGATTTAAGGTAGAGCTGAAGACAGGGGGAGTCCAACCTGATACTGGTAAGGTGCGCCTAATAAAGTGGCTGTTGTGAGTGTGTGTGTGTGTGTGTGTGGGGGGGGGGGGGGGGGTGCATGAAAATATGCACATATTGAAAAAACGTACAACTTTGACAGAACATCTTCAATCATTTTTAATTAAATGCATTTTGAGTTTGATGGAATTACAGACTGAAAATCTCTGCTTTTACATTGAAGCTGCAGAAAGAGTCACAAACAGCAAATTAACAGACGCAGCAGCGCAAGTTTGTTTCTTTTATTTTATTTTAACATCAATCCATCCATCAGTCAGTGTGGATGGACCGATGGAAACTGTGCTGAATTGTTTCCAAATGCGGAATAAAACCGTTGAACCCTTCACCCTTGGACATTCAGAGAATCTGAGGAGCTCTTAAGCTTCTTCCTCAGATCTTTTCAACCCACATTATACTTCCATTATTTGACAAACTACCAGAAGAGGGGGGAAAACAGAACAGGTTACCTTCCAACGTCCTAACAATGCTGTCACCTTTTGAATATAAAAATAATAATTTTCATCTAACCTTTTGGCCTTGCTCTCCCTTTTCGCCTTTCTCTCCTCGAGATCCAGGCTTCCCCTGGAAGAGCAGAAAATAAAACTTTAACGTTTTTACAATCACCTGAATTATTTCTAAATGTTTGAATACAATTACTGGAGTTGATCAATTACAAAAAAAAAAAAAATCGATTAAATCGTTAAAAAGGTACTGAATGAAGGATTGTTGTGACATACTATAGAGCCGGGGAGACCTGGAGCTCCTGGAACATCAGAAGAACAGGTACACCTGTACGCAGGTGCAGGACAGCCCTCCTCATCTCTCTGAGGCAGAAGCACAGACATCATTAATAAACATAAGATTCTCTAATGGCAGAACTGATTACATCAAGACGAAGTTTTCGTAATTATTATACATTGACAAGCACAGTGCTTATCGTGCACTATTTTATGCTGCAAATGTCTACCCCACCAAAATAAAAGCTGATTAAAGACGTCGAGCACTGACCACTCCGGGCAGATCGCAGCACGTATCTTCAGAAGCCCACGTGGTGTTGCAGACGATCTCAAAAGACTGCAGCTGAAACTGGAAACAAACAAGAAAACTTGATACGCGTGTCAACAGATTTGTTTCAGGTGTGTTCAGACTTTTGTTTTCACAAACTGAATATAAATACAGCAGATTAAACTAGAGAAACTACTTTCTGTGAAAACGCTGAAGTGCTACATGACTTTGATGAAAACTGTTGTATAATCTGAAATAGATTTGTTTCAATTAAAGGAAGCAGAACAGTAGCTAAAAACTAAAAGAAGCAAAATGCTAGCTAAAGGTAATAGTAGAAAAACGAAGCAAAACTATAGGTAAAAACTAACAGCTGCAAAAGCTAAAAGTAACAAAAGACTAACTTAAAGCAGCAAAAGGTTATCTAAAAGCTAAACAGAACAAGGCTAGTTAAAGTAGCAAAAGGTAGCTAAAAGTTAAATGTAGCAAAATGCTAGCTAAACAGTATCAAAAGCCTAAATCAGGGCTATTCAACTGGTGACCCAGGGGCCAAATCAGGCCCACAGGTGAGCTCAGTTTGACCCAACAATGTGTTAATTTTTAAATAAAACTAGACTTTAAACCATAAAACAAACTTAATGACAACAAATGTCTGGCCCCTGACCTCTTGGCTTTCAGCAACTGTGGCCCCCTGAGCAATTTAGTCAAACGGCTCTGGCCTAGATACTATAAACTATAAAAAAAGTACCGGGGCGGATCCACTGTTAGGTCCTCGTGTTTTCACCAGTTTTCCCAGCATCTCAAACCCGTCGGTGGGCAGGTTACCAAGAGGACGAGCCGGTCTCTCCCCCACATGCTGGCAGTCCACGGACAAAGACACGCTCACCTGGCTAACAGACAGGTGAACCTGTCAACAAGGAGACAAGGATCAGGGCAGTGGACAAGAAAATAATATTTTCTCTTTGAAGATTCTATTAGGCCAGAATGTTAGCACAGATAAATGTACGTTTAGAACTTTCTGACTGTTTCATTAAAACGCGTCAACCGGTTCGTGACATATTTTGCTAACAGACAGGCAAACACACACATATGCACACACAGAGACATGGGCGAAACCATTATTGCTTTTCCATCTTGGCAGCAAGCAATAATTAAACAATTTTTTTTTTTTTACACAAGCATCAAAATTAATCATTAGCCAGACTTCTAACAGTAGGGAAGACATTGTTTTATAGATGGCAAAGACTGAAAACCACCAGAATGACAGAATTTAAGGGACATAACCAGCTGGGTGTGTTCTGTCTCACCTTGTGAAAACTTCCGTAGAACAACTTGTGAACCTGCGGCTGATCAAACGTGAGCTCCTGAACCTCTCCTCTGTAGTCCAGGCTGAAGTACGTCAGATGTTTGGTAGAAGCTGGAAAACAACAACAAAATCACCTAGCACTACTTGAAGGAACCCACATCACCCCCAGCCTTTCATGAGTCAGTTTGAATTTACGAAGGCTGCTATTGTCACATCTTCCAAGATGGCCGGTGACTTCTAGCTACAAACGAAGAAACTTTACCTGAATATCTGTCATTGTGAGTAAGCTGTAGCCTTTTTTGTGTTGGCAAAGGTAGATTAGCTGCTGTGGCCATCTTGAAATGAGATATCATCAGTCATGCATGTTAATCCAGTGATTATTTTCTGAGAAATGTATTCAAATGCATCTAGCGGGTCATGAGGTGTTTTGCTAACGATGCAGACAAACACACAGAGACAAAAACATTATTGCTTCACCGTCGCCTTTAGTGGCGGGCATTAAAAGCAATCTTTTACAAATTTTCAACTTCCATCCATCCATCCATTATCTTTACCCGTTTATTCCATTTTGGGTCACGGGGGTCGCTGGTGCCCATGTCCAGCAATCACTGTGCGAGAGGCGGGGTACACCCTGGACGTGGTCGACAAGTCCATCGCAGTAAAACGGACTTCAAAAACGGTTGTACTATTTTCACAGTATGTATTTTTTTTCTGAATGAGGTTTTAAGTTATATCCCAGCGTGGTCCTAATTTTTTAATTTCCAATTTACTTAACTGGTGTTGCTTGCGTTAGTAATGGAACAACATAAGTTCATTATTCTCTTGTATTCTGTAAAAAAAAGAAGTAGCTCATCAGTTTTAGATACCCATATGAGACTTGCTGACTTTGAGACACAACTTAAAGATGAACTAGGAAGAATGAGGTTTGCAGAAGTCTTACTCACGGTCAATAACCACCCCCATCTTCGGCTGGAAATCAATGTCCGTGAGCTGCCAGAGAGCAAAGGGCTCCCTGGGCGTATCCTGCAAGACCCGGAAGGCGATGCTGATGGTGTGGTCTGGAGAAAAACCCGCTGCGTGAATAAACCTGAAACACAATGACGCAGTTTTAAGGAAATAAAAAAAGACCAGAATCATAATCCAGTATGGCTCCAATGCACATTTAAATGCTCAAACCTGTCAGGATTTAACAGAGCTCCTGGGGTGGTCAGGTCTTAAAAAATATCATTTTGGATCATCCCCTGCCTTGCACTTTCAATTATTTTTTTTTCTTTTAAGTTTAATCAAGACGGTCACCTTAAATGCAATCACTTTTTCTCCGGGTACTCCGGTTTCCTCCCACAGACCAAAAACATGCATGTTAGGCTGATTGGTAACTCTAAATTGTCCCTAGGTGTGAGTGAGAGAGTGAATGGTTGTTTGTCTCATTTGTCTCTACGTGTCCCTGTGATGGACTGGAGACCCGTCCAGGGTGTACCCCGCCCCTCGCACAGTGATTGCTGGACATGGGCACCAGCGACCCCCGTGACCCAAAATGGAATAAACGGGTAAAGATAATGGATGGATGGATTGATTTCACTTTGACATCAAAGACGTTTATTTATTTATTTTATTGTTAAAAGGCCAGTTTGTATTTCTCGATTGCTTCATAACAGCAATAAAAGCACAAAACACCCACGGGGGTGAATTCTTTTTACAGACACTGAACGACACCGAGGTTAAAAACTACATGAATCGACACGAGACAACATCTAAAAAAAATTATCTGAGTTGCACTTTCATTTTTTTAAGAGCAAAATATTTATATTAAAACCAGTTAATGGGGAAGCTGGTCTGGTTCTGGCTTCAACTTCCAGGTTCCGGTCTGAGGTCGACCTCTAAGATCTACGGCGTCGGCATATTTCCTGAAAGTTGAAACTGGGGCGGGTGCAGGGCGCCTGGAAGAAGTTTAGAGTTTAATCTCTATTTAAACAAATGGGACTTTGCTATTTTTGAAATAAAAGTGTGACACAAGCTTGAAATAACTAATTACCGTTAAATGTGTAAGGAAAATTAATATTTGAACATAACGGAGCAAGGTAAAAAGTAACAACAAGCGTCAACGCTTTAAAGAAAACTGATCTGAGGTGTTTGTTTCCTCAACTTTCTGGTTACGTACATGTTAAACATGGCTGAAAATATAAAGAAAAGTATAAAAGTCTGTAAAATTCATATGAGTGAAAGTAATGATGAGTGACATTGTTCATGATGTGCATTAAAAAAAATCTACTTAGGGTAAAAACAAATCAAAACTTAAAGATGACGTCTCACTTGGTGCTCTGGGTCAGTTGCACGTCTCTGTACAGCGTGTAGGTGAGGACGGTGTTGAAGACAAAAGGCTCGACCGCCACCCCCTCCACCGAGGAGTGAGCTCTCGGCGTCAGACCGAACGCTTCCATCATGTCGAACCCTGAGCCGGCACACACAGAAAACACAAACTCTGCCTTTTGCACCTTTTGGAACCAAACCAGCTCTTTTTAATTAAGATGAACGAACGAATTGACCCAACGAGTCCAGATAATGTGTCTCACCTTTAACGATGCTGTTCCTGATGGTGACTTCAGGGCAAACTGCAACACAAGAGGGCAGTACTGAGAAGTTATACAACGAGCCAAACATGTCCAGGTTTATCTTTTACTTTTTTAATCAAAGGGGAAATTATCACATCAGCTTTAAGAGGCGTTAACGAGAACTTGGATGGGATAAAAACAAATTAAACAGTTTCCTGTAACATGTTCAACATCTTCAACTATAGTTTTTATAAATCAGAGTCTGTTTGAAGGGTTGGATCTAGCATTTGCATGGTCAAAGGTCATCACCGAGTAGTTTAAATGAAAGGAAAGACAGAACTGATCATTTGCTATTTAACTTCTAAAAGTTTTTGCTTAAAAACATATTTGAACTGAAAATTGCAAGTATAAAAACTAGAAAGTTCCTGTAGAAGCTTTGACGGGGGACAGCCACATTGTGGCCATCTTAAATTTTTGATTTGACAGTACTGTGTTGGAGTTCTCTCTCGGCTACTACTATACCTAATTTCAGCTCAACAAGGCAAAAAACATCAATGAGTTATAGTCATTTTTTTATTTTAAGCTATGGTAGCCATCTTGGATTTTTGACAAGGACTCAGTATGTGATGAGGAACGTTCTCAGCTGTAACCTCACCAAATTTCAGCTTTATGTGTAAAAATAGCTGAGTTAAAGACATTTAAATGTAGCTTTGAATTTATTATTGGTTGGGCATTGCTCTCAGCTACCACCATGTGGGGGTGCACGTTGCGGTTCGGGACGCATTGAAGTTGATAGAAGAGCAAGACCTTTTTCAGGTGGATAATAACAGGTGGCTGCCTTCAGGCAGTCCCCAATAATTTAAACTGAAGACCAGGGAAGCGTAAAGATTTACCTTCGTTATGAATCGGGTACATTTGAGGATGGACATGAATTCTGACGGGAGCTGGAGCTAAAAAAAAAAAAACATAGAACAACAACAACAAAAAAACAACTTAATCATGTTATTATTATATTTTTGAACATATCACACTGCATTCGTTAAGAAAACTACAGAAACTACAGTAAGCTCTAAATATATTTTAGAAGACAGAGAGCTTGAAGTACATAATTTATCACATATAAAGTGTAATTTTTTATTATGTGTTTAATGCTTAAAAATAGTCAGCATTTGTGTTAAACTTACTGCTGTTGAATCACTAATGAATAGTTTGTAGTTGTTTAAATCCACAGTAATATTCTGACTACTGACCCTAATAATATTACAAATATGCTGTTAAAAGAGTTGCACCTAGTAAAACTAATTCATATTGTTGTCGTCTCACTAAATCACTGTTTTTACACATTCAAATCCATTCTTTGGTTGATTTGAATGTATGTCTGGGGTCATACGTCTCTTCATCTTCAGCCTTTTAGCAGCCCATTGTAGGCTTTGATCTTAAATAAACAGGTAATTTTCATCATCCCTGTTCCAGCTAAAGAAAAGTAGCCCCCACAGCATGATGCTGCCACCACCGTGTTTTCACGTATGGTGTTCTTTTGGTGATCCACGGTTGTGGTAATGGATCAATCATACAGTACCTTTTGAAACTGTGGTTTAACAAAAAATAGCCTTCATGTTCATCAGATCAGAACACATTTTACCACAAGAGACACTTGGGATATTTATCTTTGTAAGAAAATGCTTCTCTATAGTTCAAACATGATGAGTGTAGATCACAACCGATACTTCTCAGAAAATCCTGTGTCAGAAACACCAAGGATTTTCCTTAATTTGCTGTGTTTTTACTATACTTATCCAGACCTGGAAAATACTGAAATAGGTTCCTTACCTTTAAGATTGCGCAGGAACCCTGAACTCTTGTTTATCCAGTAATATCTCGTTCAAACTAAAATTTTAGTTGGGTTAATATCTGGGTATTTTTATACTTAACATAGCCAATAGCCTTTTTCACAAAACCCTTCAAGCTTTGTTCTTGAACACCTTTTCAGCACAATTTATAAAAGAACCATGGTGGCAAGGGGTGCTAAAATCCACATGTTGCTGTTATGTTTCTAAGTCGCAAAGCAAGGAATTCAGAGCTTTAATGGTTGATAAATAAAATGATTGGGTGGCAATGTGGCTTAAAGATGTGATGCATTAAAACTAGATGGTCTGTACAGTCATGTGACCGTGGGAGTCACAATGGGTGATGTCACTATTTGATGCCTAGCCCTTCACATCAACACCACTGCTGATGGTCCTCGTTGAGGACGGGCTCGTCTTTGCAGCCATACCGAAGAACAATTTTACGAAAGAGGCTACAGATCCTGTGATTGCTTTGTACCTGTTGGGTGGAGGATGGAGACGGCAGCGCCCTCTACTGAGCCGAGCAGCGCGTGCATGCTGATGCGATACAGCGTCTCTGGTTCCAAATCAGTGAAACAGTAACTGCTGCTGGACTCGTCAACGGTATCCTGCTTTGTTTGTTTGTCTGAACACACGGAGATAAAAGCCACACACCTTCACACCAGTGGGAAGACGAACTGTGTGACATCTTTTGCCCGTATTCCTGTAGAAGTTTCAGTTAAATACCTTTAATGGACTGAATGACAATCCGGTATCCATCGACCGCAGACACGGGTCTCCACGACAAGCATATACTTGAGTGGTCTGACCTGACCACACTGACACTGCTCACTCGCAGACTGGCTGCAGAAGCAAACACAAAGCAGATAAACAAAATGTTTATGGATCCAACGTGAAGCCAAATTAATGCTGCTTAAAACAGAAACGTAGTACAGTAGTCCCTCGTTTATCGCGGGGGATCTGTACCCTGAAGACCCGCGATAAGTGAAAAATCGCGTAGTAGCAATAGTAGTACAAGTAGCAAGTAGCAGTTTATTATATATATATATATATATATATATATATATATATATATATATATATATATATATAAAGGAGATTAAAACCCTTTCCACACTTGCAATATTCTAAACAATGTTTCTAAACTCTAAACGCTCTAAAAAAAGCACAGAATGTCATGATTTCAGCCCTGCCTCCTCTGCTCTTTGCCACCTGCAAGCGCTCTTAGCCACGCCCACTTCTATGCTCTGCCCAGTGAACAGCTGATCAGCTGCAGCAGGAAGTTTATCCTGCAGTATGGGCTGCACAAATGTGCCACCGTGCTAAATAACTTTAAATAATTTATTTTAAATAGAAATGCCATGCCGATCGTGCGGCTCATCCATCAGTCAGCCAATTGTGTGTCATGTCCTATCTTATTTTGAAAAACCGCGATTTATTAACCTTTATTTTTTTAAATCAGGCAAATCCCATTGAGATCACAGATCTCTTTTGCAAGGTAGGACTGGACCTGAAGGCAGCCTAACATACATGTTTTTGTTCTGTGGGAGGAAACTGGAGTACTCAGAGAAAACATGCAAACTACACACAGAAAGACCCCAGGTCCAACCAGGGATTGAACCCAGGACCTTCTTTCTGTGAGGCAACAGTGCTAACCACTGAGCCATTGTGCTGCGATAGAGCGAGTCTGCGATAAACAAATTGAGAAGTAGCGAGGGACTACTGTATTTCATGTAGGAATGCATGTAGCCCACCCTCTTGCATGCCAAAGTTTTAAATAAAAATGTTTAATGCTCATTGTATGTGTTGGGATGCCTGTCAGCTAATACCACGTCAGGTAGTGGCTCAGAATTTGTAAAATTGACTGAATTAAGGTTATTTTAGTGTTTGCTGAGGTTGATTAGCTGCAGCAGTGGTCTTAAACTGAGTTGACTCCTCTTGTAGAACAACATCCAGTAATTGCTTTTTAAGAATTTCATTAAAATCCGTCTAGAGTTTCATGATCGAAAGCTAAATATTCAGGATTTAAGCCTAATGGACTGTGAGGATTTATGTTTTTGACATCATCAAACATGAAAGATTTCTGACCATCACACACCTTCTTCTTCTTTTTTCCCTCTCATAACCAAAACTCCACACCCACAGATTTGCCTATCCAGTGAACAGTGGAATGCAGTTCTAGTTGATAATATTAATTATAAACTTGTACTTTAGGCCAGACAGTATTTTAAGACTCGTCCTTGGATCACGCCTTCCTATCATCAATCTACTGGAATAATCGCATTAATAGTTCATTCCTTGATCTGTAAATAGTTGTAGAAATCCCAATTTTGTAATAAAACACATTAAATTTTAAGTACTATGTGCAATTTGTGTGTGTATCTCAGAGAGTCAGGTAAGCCGAGATCCCAGATTCCAGTGCGTAAACCTGAGCTAATGCTAAAAAGAACTTGAGCTAATGCTAATTTCCTACAACACATGATGTTTGTTTCAGGATTAAATGAGCATCACAACTAGATCCGGTGTCAAAACCACATCTCGCTCACATTTAGAAGGTCGTTGTGTTTCACTTACTGGTTTTGCCTTGAGCTGAGCCGCTGCCTCCCTCTCTGCTGCGATACTCAGCCGTGACAAAGATGCTGTAACGTGTATCTGGCTGTAATGACTGCAACACCACCTGTTTATCACCACCTGGCACCAACACCTGTTGACAGTTAAGGTTCAAGGCTCTTGACACAGACCGAGATGATTTGTGGGTTCTCTCAGAGAACACTGTGATTTGTGCAAACCAGCCGAGGGTGATGATTACAGCTCACTCACAGTTCTGTCCTGGCTCTCAGCTCCTGTCAGAGGTGAGTAGGTCACACGGTACTGGAGGACATGAGCGTTTGGAGGCACCCATCTGACCACCAGACTGACCGCAGTTTCTTCTGAAACAGTTACGCTGGATGGGCCTCCTCCTGACACTGCAGGACCAGAGAACAACCAATCAACAGGTTCACATTTACTTACGTCGGTGTAAAAAATACGCAGGCTGTCTAAATCTAAAAGAAGTGTTACCAGGCAGCTATAAGTTCCTTAAAGAATAAACAAGCTGGTGTCCCTCGTCACCAAGGGATTTTAATAGTGAATGTTTGTAGATTTTTACATGTTTTTCTGGACTGAAATCAAACAGGCACTGCAAGTAAACCTTAAAGTTTTTAGTGCAAGATATTCAAGTGGGAAGGTGTCATACTGTTTTATTTAATTTAATTTTTTGCTTTCCAAAGGCAGTGCAGAGTGATGTATCCTGGTAAACAGAGGAAGTAATTTTATCAATGACCAGGTGCTGAGGCGGAACCAGGGGGTGGCCATTGGTGGCCTTGGCCATCATAGATTAATCTTTGGTCACCCCAATCACTTGAGGAAACTATACTTTTAAGCAATATAAAAACTAGAAAGGATAGTTTTGTCAAATGATTGTTATGGCCCATTTACATATATCTAGATGGCGATGGCCATGTATATTTAAACCAGCATGCAAACTGGTGAGCAGAGAACCAGCAGTAATGTATGGTGTGTTCAGTTTGCTCATTAGGCAGTCCGCTTCTCAGGTTCTTCATCTTTTTCTTTCATTTGTGTTTTGTAATGATGAAGGTGGTGAGGTGGGAGTTATTCTTGTTTCTAGCTCGACTATGTGTGCCCCTGAGGCTGGTTTGCTGATCCAGAGACAAACAAAGGCTGGCTCTTTTTTTTTTTTCATTCTTCTATTTTTCTCCTCTTTGGCTTTTACTATAAAGTGATAGTATTTTGAACATGATGATTTTAAAACAAAGTTTAAAAATAAATAAATGTACAGTTGTCCCTCGTTACTTCGCGGTTTGTTTTTCGCGGACTCGCTCTATCGGGGTTTTTCAAAATAAGAGTGGACATGACACACAGTTGGCTGACTGATGGATGAGACGCACGAACGGCATGACATTTTTATTTAAAATAAATTGTTTTGAAATACTTAGCGCCTCCTGCACCTTTGTGCAGTACATATTGCAGGATACACTTCCTGCTGCAGCTGATCTCCGTGCAGAGCAGAGAAGTGGGCGTGGCCAAGAGCGCTTGCAGGTGGCAAAGAGCAGAGGAGGCAGAGCTGAAATCATGACATTCTATGTCTTTTACAGTGTTTAGAGTTTAGAAACATTGTTTAGAATATTGCAAGATTGTGGAGTTTAAAATGCCTATACATACATACATATATGTATATATATATATATATATATATATATATATATATATATATATATATATATATATACATACATACTCTGGGCCCATGAGCAAGGCCCTTAACCCCCACCATCTGCTCCTAAACAGGTCTCTCTTGAAAATGAGTTCTCGTGGCTCAATGAGACTACCTGGATAAATAAAGGCTAAATGAAAAAAAAAAAAAAATATATATATATATATATATATATATATACACATACACATACACATATACATATATATACACACACACACGTACACACATATATATATAAAATAAACTACTACTTACTACTTGTATTACAATTCCTACTTCGTGGTTTTTCACTTATTGTGGGTTTTCCGGGTACGGATCACTCCGCGATAAATGAGGGACTACTGTATTTTGAATTTTAATGTTATGTTTAATCTCTATTTTAAAATAACTTTTACTCATTATTGCATTTCTACTTTTATATATTACCATTATTTATTTATTTATTTACATTTTTGTCTTTTGTCTCTAGGACAATAAACCAGGCAAAGTGGACAGTTCCACATGTCACAATCTATAATTTCCTACAGTAATAAAGAGGCAGCTCTGACAGACATGACTTTATGAGGCTGCAGATAGCATTTTATAAATAATTTAAAGTGTGCAAACAATCCTGGAAGTCTTACAGGTGCTGTAGCGGATGGCCACAGCTTCACTCTGAGCTCCATCTCCATAAAGTGCAGACAGAGAGATCTGGTACTCTTTGTCTTCCTCCACTCCCTTCAGGACCGCTCCTTCTCTGTCACCATTCACCTTCAGCTAAAACACACAAAAATCAACCTTTTCACACATTCTATGCCAATTCGGTAAAATAGACGCTCCAAATCTCAGCCTGCTCACCTGCCTCAGATCTCCTCCACTCAGAGAGATCCATTTAATGAGGTAGGAGACGACGTCATCAGCCGCAGCCTGCCAGTGGACAGTGATGTCGCTGCCTGAAAAGTTCGTCACTCTGAGGTCCGATGGGGAAGGTACCTTTACTAGAATAAAGAAAATGAATAGTTTATCTATTTTGACACGGTCTAAAATAAAATCCCACAAATTAACTTCATGGATGCATGTGAGGCAGATGGTTAAAAACAGGAGACTCACGTGTGGTGATGTTACCGGTGAGCGCAGCAGACAGGCCTTGTGGGTAATGAGACTGGACAGAAACCTGGTATCTGGACAGAGACAAGAGGTTCTGCACCAGGACTGAGCTCATCCCCGTTACCTCCACCTGGACGGGTAACAGAAAGAACAAATAAAAACGGATCGATCGACACTCTCTAAACATACTGTAGCTGGACAATTAGGTTTCAGTAAATAAAACTACGAGTGTAAAAACATGAAAACTGTTTCGACTTTCCCAAGAAATTCTCTGGTGGGTGACGGTTTCTTTCATTTGCTTCTTTATAAATCTTTGTGAAACACGACTAGACTAGAGATTTGTTTGTGAACGGTGCATAACAACATTTATTTTCAACATTTAATTTACTGGTTAAAGACATAACTTACAAAAGCTCATGTGTACCTTATTTTAGCATGTACATAACAGGAAAAAAACCACAACTTATATGAAAAATTAAAAAAATTAAAAGGAAACGAAAGAAGCCAAAACACGACTCATATTGAACATTTTCTGTAAATTAAACTAATAAAGGAAATAAATGAAAATAAAACTAAGATTTATAAACTCCTAGATACAAAAAAACCCTTCTAAGAATATCCTGATGCATGCTCAATAATAATAATAATAATAAATTTGTAGTCAATACAAAAACCTAACTAAATATAC